GCTTCCTCGTCCCCTACCATGCAATTACTCTCAACCGTACAAGCAGGGTCAACCAGAGATAGCTGATGACAGGGAACACCGCAGGGTGTCTGACAGTATGGCACTGTGCAGCTTTCCTTCGCTTCCATCACATCTCACACCCAGCTTCTCATCACTCTCTGCCTGAATCATATTAGCTTGTTTTTTTTCAACAAACCTTTTTAAGCAAGGCAGGGAACCTCCGTTCCCATATCTGGTTTCCAAGAACCTCTTGACCTATGAATCATGCGTCTTATTTTCATGTCCTCACTTATGAACCATGGGGTTTTGGATTTGTTTAAGCCTCCTCCTTTCTGGATTTGTAAACATCTACATGAAAGGTATCTGACTCTGTATGTACGTCAACAGCAGCATATTTGACCATTCTTTAGTTACCATCTGTAATGTCACATACAATCCAATAATGTTTCTTTCTTTTTACATTTGTCTGAACCCGAGTGGACAGTATGTCCTATATACATTTCAGAAATGATTGGGCTAATTCTGTCTTCTGTCATATAATCAATCATTGGTGACCCATGGCCTAAGCGTGGTTTTACAGCCTGTATGAGGCGGTATGCATCAGGTCACTAGCTGCTCCAAGACGTCTGTGTCTTTGGTTCCATCTTTCCGGAACAAGTTAAAACATTTAATTTTCCAGGGAAACACTTGTCCTTTAGGATGTCTTGGCCAAAGACTAACATAGCCTTTCCATTCCTGAAGAAAATATGCATTAGACGTACATGAACAACTGATTATCTTTGAGTCAGTTCAATTCAAGATGGCCGCCACAGCAAATCAACCTTAGCCAGCACAAAAAAATGTTATAACTTAGATGTTGATCTGAATTTTGATGTGATAGAAGCTGAGTTTACCACAACGCAATTTGAATATGACATTTCACAATATTTCATGAGATTATGCACGTTAACGTTATCAAGGTTTTCATAAAAATACCTACAACTCCATACTTTGTCAACATAAGATTTTAGCATATAACGCTGCAGGCGGGAACTCTGCCATGAAAGATGGCAGGTGATGTGCATCCCTTCAGGAATGCCAGATCTTTAACTAATTTTATTTTGTGTGCATGTTTTTTGTCAAGTCAACTTTATTGTCATTACCATCACGTAGTACAAGAGGTGGAACAAAATTATGTACACAGGGTCCCAGTTAGACCCAAAAATAGCAAAAATATAAGTATAAAAAGAAACAGTAAATAAGGATCTAAGGTATACACTAAACACATGCCAAACGGTACTCTAAAAGATCTAAGATAAACAGTAAACGCTAATGATGTAAAACAATACGTCACAACAACAGCAGCCCTAACATGAGTCTGTGGCAAGCAGATGGGTATGAATACAGCACAATAAGACAATCAGCAGCATGAGATCAGCAGCATGGATAAGTCACTTATCACCAGTTAAAGTGGCATTACAGTCATTTTTCTTTTTTTATTCTTACAATGATTATCCTGGTTAGGGATTTATGAGTCTAACACCTTCAGGGTAGAAGCTGTTCCTCAGTCTAGTGGTTCTGCACTTAATGCTCTGCAACCTTCTGCATTTTGCAAGATATCAAAGTGTTGATTCATCCTCTCCTAACGTTCCTGTCTTTTTGATGGATTTGTTGTTTTTGCTATTTCCAATAGAGATGAAGAATCCCCTTTTTTGCTGTAAACATCATACAAATTCAACTTTTCCTTTAGTTTTTGAGAATTAACAATTGTCTGTTTGCACCAGGGAACAACAGTTTAATTCAATACACGAAGTCATCGCGCTGCACGTGCCACACTGGTCAAAGCCGATTGCTCAAAAGGAGTTGGGAGCTTTTTATTTAATCCTTTTTTGTTGTTTTCACATCAGAGTCTTTTTGCATAAAACTAATTTAACTAGCATCCTAAATTAATTGTGTTAATATTTATTTTGTGCCAAATTTTAATTCTATAAAGCAAAAAAATCTTTACTTGGAGCAACAAGCACGGATCAAGACACTGAGTACTCAAACACGCGTGTGTTACCCTCTGAAGTCTGTCAGGAAATGAAGCCACGGCTCATAGAGCCGCACGACGCTTGCATTACCGTGGTGACATCGCTCTTCCTCTCGTCGCAATGACCTCGAGCAAGCAACCGACGCATCACCTCACGGATGGATCTGTTTATACTGGAGTGGTGATTTGTTCCAGCATTCAGCTCACATTAAATGACACTGCCTCCTGTTGATGTAATATTGAAGCTGCAGAATCAACACAGATGCTTGGGGGTGTGAGGTGGGGGATACTCTCAGTCCTCTCATGGAAAAGATCGTTCTACTCAAAAGAAGCACATTTTTGTTTCTTTTTGTGATTAAGCTTACATGCAAATCATGCATTGTTTCTGTATTTGTGTTGACGACAGTGCAACCAACTAAACGTAAATTACATTTTAGTGTTGAGAATAAAGAAAAACAAACCAGTAAGTCTTGTTTAAGGTCTTGTTAACCAGAGATGTCAGGAAAAGTAGCAGCACTGAACCATAAAGAGCCATCCTGAGGGATCAGGGACTTTAGGCCTCCACAAATTGTTGCCACTTATCTTTAGCACACACATTTTTCTACAATACAACAGGGAGCCATTAAGGACCTGGCCAGGAGTCCATCTTTATCCTACATGTGCAAAAATAAAGCCCAAAGAGTGGTTGTGAGTGAACGGAGTGGGGAGCCAGAAGGGAGCAGTTGGGTCACAAAACAGAGCAAGAAAAGCCCCTGCATTACACAGAAAATGAATACTGTGATTGTATTTTGGCAGTAAATGTATTTCTACTTAACAAAAGTAGGTCTAACAGTACTAACTGTAAAAAAATGTAAAACATATCTGTAGCAATACTGTACATAACACAGATGGGTGTGTACCAGGTACTTGATTTGTACCTGCTGGGCTCTTTATATGAAGCGATCTACCATAGTGAACTTACCAAGTGATGTACCAAGTAAGACATTTCATGATAGAGCATGGCCCCTATAGGTACATATATGTAATAAAGCCAAGTTAGCACCCTGTTTGTATTGCATTTTCTGGCGTATAAGTTGCATCAGTCCTAAAAAAGCATCATGAAGAGGAAAAAAATATATGTCACTTCGGCGCATAAGTCGCAGTTATTATGCGTCAGCGCTGATCCGACACGTTTATTATGCGTTTAGTATGCGTTTATTATTCGCTTATTATTTGCTTATTATGCGTTATGCATTTATTATGCATTTATTTAATGGTCAAAACCGCTTCATTTAGCCTGGGCTGTGCAGCGCCATCCGTCCATCTGTCCATCCATCCATCCATCCATCATCCATCCATCCATCCATCCATCCATCTATCCATCCATCCATCCATTATGGCTGGATCTGCCAGCTCTCCAGCGTTCCTCCGCCTGCACCAGCTGAGTGAAGCAAGCATGCACAGGAGGACTCGCTGTTGCAGTTCTTAGAAGTTTAACAAAATTAACGCTTAAAAACAATTATTTGTTTGCTCGACATTATAGCAAAGGTGTGTCTCAGTTTAACTTTTCCTTAATAAATGCACATTAATGGTTAAAACGGCTTCATTTTGCCTGGGCGGTGCAATCCATCCATTGCGGCCAGAGCCACTAGCTCTCCAATGTTCCTGCACCAGCTGAGTGAAGCGAGCACGCATATAGAGCATTCACTGTTGTAGTTCTTAGAAATTTAAAGCATCAGTCAAAAATTGTTATGAATGTGGAAAAAGAAACGTATATAAGTCACTTCATCATATAAGTCGCAGCACTGACAAATCTATGCAAAAAAACTGTGACTTATATGTCAGAAAATGTGGTACTGAGGAAATATGCAACATGTGCCTGGTACTTATGGAGACTCGTGTGTCATAAAGTGACATTACATAGAATTTACCAGGTACATAGCTGATAAGTACCAAGTAACTACTTACTATATACAAAGTATAGCTTCTGTAAGTACAAAGTTAGTAACCTGTACAATGGTAATTACTCCATATGTACCCATAAATATTCCTTTCAGTAGAGGGCTGAGTCTGTCAGCAAACATACGTGTACTAAATTAAAGAAACGATGTCTTTGATTTATAAGTAGGTACAATTATGATATCTTTTTTTTAATTGGGTTTGCATTAAAATGGGGGGTTTGTCTTAACCAAAAACTATATTTCTTCATCTATTTTTACATTTCTCTTTTTGTCATTCATCCATTCAGTCGTCAAGGGGGTCCACGCCCGTTTTCACCAGTTACTGGGTGAAACTCAGGGCACACCATGTACAAGCTGTCATTCCCTCCAACCCCCTACCTTTATTTGTTAAATTTTCAGTATAATAATCCTTATTTATCAAAGTATTTTATTTTGTTTCTCACACACACAGACTGTATCTATGCATGTCAAATAATTTTTTTGTTTCATCAAACTCTGAATCTCCAGGGCATTCCCTCCCTCCCAATCTTGTCTTGATGTCCAATTTTAATCCAGTTGCCATGACACACACGCTCACAAAACCAAAGCACATACACTTAAGTATGAGTCACACAGCTTCATTTTGACGTGGACTCTGCTCTCTCTGCTAGTTTTGCTGAGGGAGTTATTGAATTAGTCCAGATTGTTTGGAGCAATAAGCCTTTATTGCTTCTGCAGAGAAACAGGCGCTGGACTTAAAACAAGCTGTCTGTCTGGCTGATTTGTGCTTACAGTACTTCCAGAATCATACAGCTTCATCAGTCTGATAAAAAAAAAAACTCTGATCTTTTGTCTTATTCTGCTACGTTAGATACTGAGAATAAAACTGGTAATATGCTCTTAAGGCAAACTGATGATGGTGGTCAAATGCTGTCAAATCTGTGTGCATCTTACATCTTAAAGTATTTTTCAAACAAAACTGTTTTTGTTAAGAGTAAATGTTTTAGAAAATGTATATATGCCTATGATAAATCATTTAATTCATGCTTGTTTGTTTGTGTGCGGTCCAGCTACCATCATTTTGAATGAGCTAAATTGGACGGAAGCCTTGGAGGATGTTTTCCGGAAAAACAAAGAGGAAGATCCCTCGCTGCTCTGGCAGGTGTTTGGCTCTGCGACGGGTTTGGCTCGTTACTTCCCAGGTCAGCAGCTCCTGCTTTGAAGAACACAGTCACAAACAATTCTTAGAAAGAAATCACAAATTTGTTTCTTATATATACATTTTGAAATGTTTTTCAGCCATATAGTTTTATTTATTTGAAAATAATCTCGTTCAAATTTTTGAGAAAAAGAGTAAAATTTTATGTTTCTTTGGAAAGAAAACCCACTTTTTATAAGACAAATGTTTATAGATAGTGTAAAGCAGGGATGCTCAAACTTTTTGTTCAAAGATCCAGTCTGATTTACAGAAAAGATCCAAGGTTCAGAACAACTGTCAATAATTAAAAATTTTATTAAATTTCCTTACAACCCAAAACCAAAACATTTGTTGTGGTTTGCCTTCATTTGTGTTCTTGTGAACTTAAGCTGCTAAATCTTGAGAAAGTAAATCTAATGTGAACTGTAGTTTCATAAACATTTTAATGAAACCTGATTAACTTATATCTTATGTCTAAAAAATGCATTTCCTTTGATTTTACACAAGAATAAATAAATCAGATCAACTGAAATTAAAGGTAGCAAGACACCTAAACATCCACATGATTGGAAGTAAATGGTACAGATGGCCTGAGTCAGTTAAAATACAGACTAATGTAGTGTATATTGTATACACTAATGTGTACATTATACACTAATATATAAAATGTCACTCTTAAAGGAGCCACACCACTCTCGTAACAGTAGCAATCACATTTCATTTCATCAAACCAGTGCATTCCCATTCAGTACAATTTAACATAGAGTTAGGGTCTGACTCGACTTTTCATTTGGTCTGGATCAGAACAGGAGTCTGGCGTTTGAGACTTGCTGGTCATTCAACAAAACTCAAACCATTAGGAAAATGCACTTTATGTAAAATGCTATTAAACCCAAATTATTGCGTTGACCTCCATTTGGAAATAAATCCACTGTTTTTCCAAAATGCAGCATCCCCTTGGATCGACTCGGGCGGTTCACCTGACCACATTGACCTCTACGACGTGCGCAGACGACCTTGGTGAGTGCAGCTGCTCGCTACGTAATGAGTACACAACTTCTAGATTGAGGAATAAAAATATTGTATGAAAACTATTGTGCAGAAATTAGTGTTAACATTATAAAGTTTCAAAGTTCATGCTCAATAATCCAGGTAAAAAAATTCCAACCAAGTTCCATCAGGTCATCTGGACTGTTTCTTTTTTTGATGAGACATTTCGTCCTTCATCCAAAGGACTTCATCAGTCCGTTGAGCCACAAACAAACTCAGTCCCACAAGCAGCACACTCCCATAGTGGACCAACCAATTTGAAACGTCTCAACAACAAAAAAACGTCCAGATGACCTGACTGAACTTTGTTGTATTTTTTTTACCTGGATTATTGAGCATGAACGTAATGTTTTACAAACCACTTTGGCCATGGCTGCCTCAGAGGAGTCGACTGGGGAGAGAGCGGGCCCTAGAAACCATCTTATCACCAGCAAACTGGTTGGTCCACTACAAGAGTGTGTTTCTTGTGGGACTAGGTTTTCTTCTGGCTTCTTGGATTGAAGAAGTCCTTGGATGAAGGATGAAACGTCTCATCAAAGAAATAAATCGTCCATATGACCTGACCGAACTTTGTTGGATTATAAAGTGTGTTTGTGTTACATCTTCTTGTATGAGCTCAGTCTGTACAACCTGTGACTGTGTGTGTGTTATTACTCACTAGGTACATCCAGGGGGCAGCGTCACCAAAGGACATGCTGATCCTAGTGGATGCGTGAGTGACAGCCTCGTGATTCATACTTTACAGTCACATTTTATTAGTTTTTGGGTGCCAGGAGGCTCTGATGGCAACTCTGAGTGGCCTCATCCTGCTGGGCACCGCTGCACTGTACTCGTATGTGGCACGGTGTAACAAAAAACAGTCGGTTCACTGGGCAACCTCATTATTTAGAATTCTGTGGTTTAAAACTGAGTTCTGCCTATAAAAGTTTAGAAATGCTGAACTGTCTCTTAGGTTATAGAAGCCTGAGTCATGTTTAAGGAGTATTCAACTATTTGTTTAAATTTAAAATATTCCTAAAATTAAAAAGATCAAGCCAAGGCCAGGCTGCAGAATTTAAACCAGTTAACCGCCATATATTAGATTATCCTACTACATCCATGCTGTTTTTTTCCAGATTCAGTACCAGCACTGACAGATAAATGTTGAAATGAAATAAGAAAGTATGTTTAGAATATGGTCAGGATTACGTCATGACTAAGCTGTGCGTACTTCCACTCCGCAAAATTTAAAGGTTTTATTATCAACACAAGCTGAAAAATGATATATGAACATGATTGCAATTGAAACTAAAAACAGAAAAAATTTATTTTTGGTGTTTTATAGTTGCCATTTATAAAATAAAATGAATTGACATGGCACGTTCTGGGTTTCATATTAGCAACATGGACTCGTTTGTTAACTTTAAAAACATCTGTTTGTGTAAATTGACTTTAATACCTCAATTAATATTTTTTAAAGATTAAATTATTTAGAAAAACACTGATTCTACTAAAGATTGTGTCGATGGTGCGGACACAAAAAGTGAATGAATTGTTGTTCCACTTTATTCAGATTCTTCTTCAAGATCATGTGGAGGAGCTCAAACTTTAAATAAACACAAAGAACCAGAGTTTGCATCTTCAAAGTTACAATTCTAACAACTGCTCTAAATTTCACTGAAAATTTAACTATATTTTTATACGTATGTGTAAAGAAAATTCCATGAAGTTTGTTCCTGTTTTGATCATTTTTAAATAATTCTCAAGTGCTTAATTTATATATAGATTTTTTTTTTTTGTGTCCCTCTCATTTAGGCACAAATTCTAACATAAGAAATCAAGTTTGGAGGGAAGATTATATTTTTATTATAAATGTATGAGGTAAAACTCACGTCACAAAGATTCACAAATACACACAAAGATAACTTTATTTGACACAAAGAGACATACTGCCACCCAGTTAATCACAGTGTTTAGGATTCATACCAATATTTACCCACCAATGACCAGCTTGAACATCTGATTGATCAATAATATTTATATTTGGGCAAATTCCTTGACATTTCTCACACCATTTTCCTTGTAAACATGTTTCAAGTAATCCCTCACTTATTGTGGGGGTTACGTTCCAGACACCCCCTCAAAAGGTGAAAATCCGCGAAGTAGGGACTTAAGATTTATTTTAGTATTTATATGTATTTTAAGGCTTTATAAACCCTTCCCACACCGTTGTAATGTTCTTAACAATGAACTCTCTAAACGCTCTAAAAGAGCACAGCGTGTCATGAGCTCTGCTCTCTTCCACCTGCCACGCCCACTTCTCCACCGCAGTCGCACTCATGCTCTTCACCTGTGTCTTCACATAGAGGCAGAAAAGGTCAAACTTATTTGAGGGGTTTAGCTGGGATTGGTGGTCTTAAGGCAGAGCTGAAGTTGTGGTCCAGGTATCCGATGGGCAGAAGTATCCATCTTGGGCAAGGAATTTGTGGTCATGAAGTGGGTCAGGAACGAGAGCAGGAACAAGAATGCTGGATACTTAAGGCACGAGGCGATCCGACAATCTGGCAGGGAGGCAGAGATGGGGGAGTGCTTAAGAAGCGCAGCACCCCCCCCCCCCCCCCAAAAAAAAAATAAAATAAAAAATTGCAGGCAGACTGACCATCAGGAGCACTGGGACATTTCCCGGTGGCCTGGCCCTCTCAGTGTTCGCTGAGGGGGACTAAAGGCTCGGTTCAGGTTGTGCTTGATTATTTTAATTAAAGACAATCCATTCCGCTTGTGCAGCTCACTCCATCAATCAGCCAATCATGTGTCATGTACAATCTTACATTAAAAACCTGCGAAAGAGTGAGTCCATGAAAGTCGAACTGCAAAATATCGAGAGGCTACTTTATACTGTCACAGGCCTGGCTCATGACCCATAACAAGAATGAGGGGAGCCAAACGTATGGACCATTAAAATAGTTTTATTGCACAAATAAAACCCAACCAAAGACGATAAATACAAATGGGCAAGTCTATTTAGTGTGTGCAGTGTAAGAATGAGTGGATGTGCATCTGAATGAATATGTCCAACCAAAACCAAACTGGAACAAAGGACAAAAAGAGGGTACCTGGAGGAGAGGAGAGAGAGAAAAAAGTAGAACTTTCTTTTAAATTACTGAACCCAGGTGGCTCCAATTGCTCAAGGCCCACCTCTGCCTAAAGGAGGAGCCACCCCTGCAGTCAGAGGAGGGGCCATGGCAATATGCATCATTCTCTCTACTATGTGCTTTATTGTTTTTATTGTAAATCAATGTTTGTTTGACTGCAGGAGTGGAAGCGTGTCAGGTCTCACCCTCAAACTCATCAAAACATCAGTCAGTAAGATGCTGGAGACCCTCTCTGATGACGACTTTGTGAACGTGGTGTCTGTGAGTATTCAGCCAAGTGCAGCCTGTTTGTTTTCATTATCCAGGCCCACACTTCACCGAGTCATTTAAAGATAAGTTTTAGTACTCTAACGCTTGAGCGGATCTTTACTCCTGCTGCACATGTGGATAGACGACAGCATTCATAACTGCGTTTGTCAGCTTCTGGTTGCTCATGTTTGTTTTCTGCATTGTTTATAAGAGATATGAAAACCAATCAAAGCTCTGAAATACGAAGTTACACAAAATATTCTGTGGTACGTTGGCAAGCCACATTCGGAGTCTGTGGGATGTAATTGAAAATGCCTCACTTGCCAATATGAGCTTCTGTGGAAATCTCCACTATGAAAGTTTTCCTGGCATCAGGACCAAACAAATCATCTATCATAATTTAAAGCTCTTCTTCCCCTGGCTACATTTATTAAAAGAAGAAAACCAAGAATTGGAATGGGGAAGAGTTTCCCTCAAACCAAGACATTTTGGAGGCGGCCACACTGAGTGAGATGAAACCCATAAATCATCTGTAATTTGATCTTAGCTCCAAGTGTCCATCTCTTTAAACTGTTGCTATGCAACCCCTAAACTGTATTTGTCAGTCACTTGGTAAATGTAATTTAAGAAGGATAATACTTTCTACAGTTTAAAGGACACTTTCAGTAAATGTACAGAGCAGAAGGCTGTTGGCTGTTTTTACAGCTCCACCAGAAGAAAGGTGTTAAGAAATATTTAAAGGCCTGCTGGAATGACGTTTCATTTATGGGCGTCCATACAGTGTTTTTGTTTTGCTCTCAAACATTTGCATAAATAATACTTGAAATCTGTCAGAACTTGGCAGTTTAAGAGCATACATGATTTGTGCACATTTTCACTTTAAATGGTGTAAAGGTTCAACAGTAGCTGACTGTATTCATTTCTATGTCTGAGACTGAGAGATGTAAAATACATGTGCACAAAGCAGCCATGCAGTCAGGTGAAAGTTAACAAAGAGTTATGACTTGACGTTGTGGAGCCTGAACTGAGCATGGATCTGAAAGAAGCAGACATTTTAGTCATTAAAGAAGAAAGTAGTGATACCAAAGTCTCCAGCTTAATGTTGAGCTCGTATGAAGAAGAAGAAAAGTAATATGAGTTCCCAAAAAGCTGCTCTCTTTCTCACAAAAATCACTGTCAGAAAATTACAGTCTCAGACTGTCAGTCATTAGACTAACCTGTTTAAATCAAGGTTGAATGAATTAGACTGTTTTCATTATGGTTTCTTTGAAAGCACAACAGTGCAGTTGCTCAGTTTGACTGATTAGCCGCAGCTCTAACCTGTAGTGAGACAGCCGTTGTTGCAAACCAAGAAGCCCAGCCACGTCAGAAAAGGCAAAATAATGAACAATCCTACTAGAACCTGGGCCCACAACATAATGACAGAACAATACCCTTGATGTCCACCACATGGCCCTCACATCTAGGGATAATCTAAAGCTATAGCATGCACAGTGGAGGGAAACCGTAGAAAATCCATGCACACATGAAAAGAACATGCACACTCCACCTAGAGAGGTGCCAGGCTGGGATTCAATCTGGCAATCTTCTTGTTGAGAGACGACAGCTCCACCAACTGCACCACCGTGCTGCTTGGCACCAAAACGTGTGGCATGTTTTTGTTCTTTTCTTTCATTCAACCTTTATTTACACGGGTTAGTCTCACCGAGACTCGAGGACTCGTTTACAAGACTGTTTTTAACAAAGAACACAGATGAGATGCAGACAACAATAGATGGTCATATCAAAAAGCATAAAATGAAAAGTAAATGGAAGAAATGAACTAAAACAAAATAAAAAACAGTTGCATTATAAAGTGATGTAAAACGCTAAAAACAGGAACATGTCTGCGTTGGGTTTTGCAATGAGCTTAGCAGATGTTTGAAGCCACTTGGAGAAGTCAAGGTCGAGAGCATCAGATCATTTTGCAAGATGTTCCAGGAAACAGGAGCCAAGTAGGAGAAGGACCTTTTGCAAAGTTCAGTCCTCACTGAGGGAACACTGCAGGTAATAATGTCCAGAGAGTGCACGCTGTAGCTGCACTCACGCAGAGACATGCAGGAGGAGATGTATGAAGGCAGCAGACCAAGAAGTGATTTAAAGATGAAAATGTACCAGTGGGAGAGTCTGCGTGAAGTTAATGATGACCAGTTAACCAGTGAATACAGGGTGCAGTGGTGGGTACGGTAGTTACAGCCAGTTATGAATCTTAGTGCACTGTAACAGACAGTGTCCAACATCTGCAGGAAGCTTGAAAAAACGTTAATATAAATAATGTTACTGTAGTAAATGGAGGGAAGGAAAGTCGCAGCTACAAGTTGTTTCCTAACATTCAGAGTTAGACAGGATCCGTTTCTGAAAAAGAAACCTAGTTTAACTTTCAGTTTCTTTACCAAGTTTTCCACGTGGGTCTTAAAAGATTCATTAAAATTGTTCATTAATATCAACAAAAGGTCGTTGGAAATCTTTCTTTCTAAACATTAATATTCCTGAGCTGTGCTACAACTGATCCCTGTTACCAATAGTCCTTAATAAATTCACATTTTAAAACGTTTTTATCGGCCGGATGAAAAAAGCTGGTGGTCCAGATGTGACCCAGGAGCCTCCAGTTGATAAAACTGCTTTATGACCTATACCAGCATCACACCTACACAAATGTAAGATGCAGATGAAAATATATTTTATATTCATAGTGAATTTAGTTGTTTTACATAATGAGGCATTATAGGTTTGTTTGGGGGTTTTTTTTGGCCAGCAGGTGTTTAATTTGTATTTCCGAGAAGAAAATGAGATAATTTCACAGTTTTACAGTGATAGAATAAATGGAACATGTTATGTAGAATTGTTTGCTGTCTATAACAAACAGCTGTCTGCTACACAGTATGAGTGCAATAATGTTTCTTTTGAAAGGTTATGTCAAAGTCTAGTCTTTGTTTTTCTCAAACAAACATCTGCTCTGTCTTTGCAGCCTAATGTTCCCGTCCAGACACTGGGCTCAGGATATATCGTTGACTTTAATCTGACTTTGCTTTCTTTAAAATCTCTTTTATCTTATTTGCTTCTACTTTGTCCTTCCCCTTCTTTTCTCTGGATGGAAGGGACATAAATCAGTTTCCTTTCCAAATCAAATTACCACTCCGTAAACGATTTAAAGTTCAAATGACAGAAACTGACTGTAAACTGGTTCTACAAGAAGAAACCAGCTCAAACAGGGAAACTACAGTCAAAACATCAAATTAATTAACAATGCTTTCTCTACTTTCACTTCAAGGATGTTTTTATTTTGTCAGTGACTGTTGGGATGTGAAATGATCTATAAACTATTGTATTATTTAAACATTAATAATAATTATAATATAAATATGTTTATGTGCATATTTCTGGTTTAAGTTAATGTGTAGTTGATGGATGCAAGATCATGTAGTTTATTACTTCTGAAAACATTAATCAGTTGAAACTAATAAGACCTAAATGTAGTTATTGTTCTTTTATTGTAGGCAAAGGCAGATGATTCTGTTATTGCCCATGTTTATGTCTGTTAGCAAAATATCTCATGAACCCCAGGACAAATTTCAATGAAACTTGCAAAACCTCTGCTGCTAACTAGCTTTAAGAGTCAACTAAACTCAAGATGGCTGCCACAGCTAGTCTGCATTAGCCAGCACATAAATGGTTAGTGTTACAAATACTGAGTGAAAAGTATAGGTGGTAGTAGCTGAGAGTCATTCGCAACGTTCTCTGACGCGATAATGTCTGAGATTGCTCATTACTTTACTTTGAAGGTTTAACCAACACAGCTACAACCTTGTCACTGACTGTGATAACACATTTCTTCAAATGATGATGTTTAAATTTGTTTTTTTAATACAAATTAATAAATGATACAGTTCACAGATTAATGTAGCTTTTGTTTTATTGGGGTGTTTGTTTTCAGGACTGTTTCCTCTCAGGTTTCTGAAGCTGATGCACACCATCGCTGTTCTTGTGTGTTTGCACATGTTTGAGGCAGTGTGTGTGTTTTGAACGTGATCATTATTGAGAGGGAGTGTAATCCAGGCCAAAACAGATGTTCAGTGTTAATGATCCAGGTCCCAATCCTCTGCAGTATGTGTGTGTGTGTGTGTGTGTGTGTGTGTGTGTG